TGGGCCCCAGCAGCATGGACCGCCGCCCGAGCGAGATGCTACGCGATCTCGCCAGCTACGTCCCCCGCGGCCCCCTCGAGCTGCACGACGACGCAGAGGATGCATACTGGGAGGACGAGGAGGAGGACGACGACGAGAGCCGCTTCGTCAACTTCTCGTTGCTCTCTAACATCGCCGTGCAGCTGCGCGACAAGGTCCCTCGCGGCACGCACGTCAAGGGCAGCATTCCGTACCCGCGGGCGTTCACCGGTAAGGACATCGTCAGCACGATCCAAACGCAGATACAGCGCGAGCTCGCGGTCAATCATGGCATCTCGACGAGCGACCGCCGTGCCGCTCTTCAGGTCGCACGCAGTCTCCAGAGCCAGCTCTTCTTCTACGAAGTCGAGTGGGGCGGGCGCGTCCTGCAAGACGGCGTGGAGGACGTGTACATGTTCCTCGACGACCAGGAGGGCACGTCGGACGCTGCGCCCGAGCGCGAAGAGCTCCCGACTGGCGTGGTCACGATGTTAACCAAGTGCTACTCCCCCAGTTGTTCGGACGACATGCCGTGCTACTCGTACGGCTGTCCTCGAAAGGTGCGTTCTTTCCATCTCGTTTTTTTGCGACCTTGCTCATGCGCTGTACAGGGAACCTTATTCATCGCTCCAGTGACGGGCCCCGCGGAGAGCCCCGCGCTACCGTTGCGCGAGGAGTGGCCGCACACGGTACCGAAGGAGGTGCTCACTCAGCTCCCCGAGAGCGAGATCAATCGTCAGACGTACGTGGTTACCTGTCCTCTCTTTCGACATCGCTCACATCTCTCTTCAGGATCATCCACAAGCTGATCAGCAAGGAGGCGCAGTACGTGCAGGACCTCGACACCGTCGAGACGATCTTCCTTAAACCCTTGCGGACGGCGATCCCGCCCGTGATTCCGCTCGAGCGGCTGGAGGACTTTATCGACGAGGTGTTCGGGAACATCCTCGATCTCCGGGAGTGCAACCGGCGCCTGCTCGAGGTAATGTATGTCCGTCAGCGGGAGCAGGCGCCCGTCATTCAACGGATCGGTCGGTCTTTCTTTCCGGCGTGCAAATGTACGATACTAATACCAGCATGTAGGCGACGTGTTTCTCTCGGCAGCGACAGAGTTCCGGCTCGCGTATCCAATCTACATCGGCCACCACCCGCTGGCAGAGAAACGCATGAAGGAGGAAATGGATGCGAACCCCGAGTTCCGGCTGTTCCTCGAGGTGGGTGCTTTTTATTAATAAAATAAATAACAAAAGGGCCGACACTGTTTTGTAGCACTGCTCCCGGCAGTCGTCGCGCGCAGGCGAGACGATGCGCCTCGACCTCAAGCACTTCCTGAACCGACCGGCGGAGCACCTGCAGAAGTATCCTGTGCTGCTCGAGGCGATCTTCCACGAGACGGCGGAGGGGAATCCGGATGCGGATTATCTGATGGAGGCCATCGCCGCGATTCGCAATCTGCAGAGCTTCGCGCAGCTACGGACGTTCCAGACCGCCATGGGGAAGGGCACGCCGGGCAAGTGGGAGTGGCACGACCTCGTTTCGCCCGAGATCCGGAAGGCGCTGCCGAAGGAAGAGCAGAAGCGCCAGTCGTGAGTCGATCGACAGAAATTTTGACTGTGTCTGAGGTTGTTGCCAGGATCTTATTCGAGTTGATCAAGGGCGAGATGGCGTATGTTAAGGATCTGGAGAACATTCAAAATGCAAGCCCAACGTGGCCCGTATATCTTCATTTTTCTGACTATGCACGCTTAGATGTACATCCAACCCCTGCGGGAAGCCAACCCGCCCATTATGGCGCCCGAACGGCTGGAGCAGTTTATCCAGGACGTGTTCCACAATTTCGCGGACCTGCATGCGCACCACCGCAAGCTCGTGGACAAGTTCCACGAGATACAGCGCGAGCAGCACCCCACGATCCGCAGCGTCACCGCGGCGATGTTTGACGCCGCGCTGAACTTCCGCGACGTGTACATGGAGTACATCCCCAACTACCCGATTGCGGCGTACCGCATCGACGACGAGATGGCGAACAACCCCGATTTCAAGAATTTTGTTGAGGTGTGTGCTGCGTTGATATCTGAAATATGGGTTGCTGATTCGATGTAGCAATGTGTCCGGCACCCGGACGCGCACCGGCTCGACATGAAGAACTTTATCAATCGACCGATCCCAAGGTTACTTCGATACGAGCTGCTCCTCAAGGGCATCCTGGACGAGACGCCGACGAGCCACGACGATCGCAAGGAGATTCCTCAGGTGCTCGAGGTCATCAAGGCGCTTGGAAAGGACACGGAGCCAGGTGTCGTGTCGGCGAAACAAAAGGTCGAACTGTGGCGATATAACTCCAACCTCGTCTTCAAGCCCGGAGAGGCCATCGTGCGTAGTTTTTACACTCAAAAGGACATGTCATTCATCTCGTGCAGGACATGGATCTCCTCGACGAGAATCGCTCCTTGATTTTTGCAGGGAAGGTACTCCGTCAGCCCGACAATACCATTCCGTCGCTGGAATGGAGCGGGTGGAGCGAGCTGTTTGTGGTGCTGTTTGATAATTACGGTAAGCGCGCCGACAGCGAGGCTGGCAACGAAACTAACCGACGTATAGTTGTGATGACAAAGCCCAAAGAGAGGGACGGGGTCACTAAATACCATGTCAATCGACGGGTGAGGCGTTTCTCGGATGGCGCTCGAAGCCAATGCTGATGCAGGTGCAGCCTATTCCTTTAGATCTACTAACGCTAGTGAACTTTACTGATCCCCCAACCCAACGCGGCGCGGGGTTGCTTCGCAACCTGCGGGGGGACCGCCACGATCCGAACGGCACAGTCGCCTCGGCGACACCGGAGAGCGCTGGAGACTCGCGTGTCGTGTATCCCTTCACCATCCACCACAACGGCCGCCTGGGTGGGGCGTACATACTCTTTACAGAGTCGGCGCAAGGGCGCACGGAGTGGAAGCAGAAGTTGGAGGAGGCCATGGGGATTCGCAAGGTTGTACAGGAATCGAATCGGGTGTTCGAGGTCGAGACCCTCAGCGCGGATACGTTCTTGGTGCCCTCGGTCCAGCTCGGCCCTGCATCCCCTCAATGGAATCAAGACACGTCGTTCACGGGCAAGGTCACTTGCTCCGTCCCTTTCAGTACGTCGTGTGTTATGTAGATCTACGAGATGCTAACGGTTTGTAAAGATACCGCGGACGGACGCGGCTTGGTCGCAATCGGATGCGCGGAAGGCGTGTGGATCGGGTTCCGCCACGATCCCAGGTGTGAGTGATGCGAGTTGATGTTCGGCTTTTCCTGAGAATCTTTCAGCCATGCGACGTGTCCTGCACCTCAAAATGGTGACGCAGTGTGCGATGCTCGACGAGTTTGGCATCTTCCTTGTCCTGGCCGACAAGGTACGTGTGCAATCATGGTCTGTTACGGTACCTAACACTTGCGCAGTCGTTGTTTGCCTACCATATCGAGGCCCTGGTGCCGTCTTCACCGCAGGGCACGCATGCATCGCAGGTGCCACAGAAGCTGAATGGCACAAAAGACGTGCACTTCTTCAGCGTCGGGACCCTTCACAACCGGACGCTCGTCATTTACATGAAGAAGAAGGGGGTGCGTGCACGGCTCCGTCGTTTGCTTGAATATCGCGGCTCATTTCCCCTCAGCTGGACAGCATTTTCCGTGTTCTGGAACCTGTAGGCGATAAAATCAACGAAAAGGTCAAGGCTCCTGCGGGCTTGGGCTCGCGTCTCGGCTTCCGATCGACGAAATCGGAATGGTTCCGGATTTACCGAGTCGGTTGAATCCCCGTTGTACTCCACCCCTTACTGATCGTTCCCAGGACTTTTTCCTGCCATCCGAGTCCTTTGACCTCTACTTCCTCAAGGCGAAAATTGTGATCCTTTGCACAAAAGGCTTTGAGATCATGGATCTGAACGAGTGAGGATTTATAAAAGTATCTCCGAATTGTTTTGACGTCTCGCAGCTTCAAAAGTGTTACCATTCCGCTGCGAGACGACGCAAGGCTTGCTCCGCTATCCAAGCGGTGCGACGCGTGTCGTCCTATTGGAATGTTCCGATCGAATGACGACGGATTCCTTTTGTGCTACAACGGTGCGTTGCAACGGAAAATAGTGCTCTTCAAGCCCTGACGTGTTGGTAGAATTCGGCGTGTACGTTGACAGGCACGGGGATCCGCGACGCGGTGCAACTACCATCGAATGGGAGGGTAATGCTGAGCGAGTCGCGCTGCACTCGCCCTACATCCTCCTCTTCGACTCTCGGTTCATCGAGGTCCGCAATATCGAGACCGGCCGCCTGGCGCAAATCATCCCGGGCAACGACATCCGTTGCCTGTGGGATGGACGGGGCGTAGGCTCGAGCATTATACAAATACCGGGCCCCGCTGGCGAGCCCACTGTGCAGGAAGCGCAGGTGCATGCTGTTATGAACGGCGTGGACCCAATGCAGCCCGGAGGCAGGCCTTCCCGGGCTGTTGCGCAACACGTCTTTGAGCTCATTCCCACCATCCCACTTTTCCTACCCGAGCCGGGTCTTTCTGCGTCGCAGTCGCCGTATTTGAGTCGAAACTCGTCCTACTCCCCGCCCCACTCACCTATCCGCGCATCTGGATCTAGCTGGAGATGAGCATGTAATGTTGTACACTATACCTTAGGCGCTTCGTAGTTTTGTATATTGTATGGAAATCAGGAGGTTCTAGGCATTTGCATTAGACGCTGGAATTTATGGCATTCAAGGAGTAGCGCTTGGACGACGAACGCGACTCCCTAATCGAAATATGATACTCTCTTGAATATATGGAAATTTTTAAGTCGAACTCACGAAAGAAAGGAAAAAAATCGCCGGCAGAGACGCGACTCCTAATCAAAGATGACTGTTGTCCTTCTGATGTATGGGAATTTTTACGAAGCACAAACTCGTGAAAGAGAAAAAAGGAACAAGTCGCTGGGAAGGCTGGAACTTTCAAAAAATAACTGCCCCCGAGAGGCTCGAACTCTCGATCTCACGATTCCTGGATGGGTTCCAGCCTTTCGGGTAACCCAACCTAACAGTCGTGCGCCTTAACCAACTGGGCCAGGGGGCAGATATACTTCCTTCACATTTCAGTGACCTATCGCGATGGGTAACTGCACAAGGTCGTCTCAACGTAATCGCTGCGGCGCCATCTTAGGGCCCCTTACCGATGTCATGTTCATGCGCGAGAGCGTTTCCTTGAATTCGGTCTCGCATAGTTGTGGGCAAATGGTCTGCTGCCTAACTGAGGATTACACTGGAAACGTCAAAAAGCCCTGTGGGATGGCGATGGAGGGCGATCCGCTAACTTGGGGGCTCTCCGCCCAAATCATACACCATGCATGAAAAGCGCGTCTGAATGCGCTCGACGTAGGTCCATGAATCCCCTGGGCTGCTGGGTAAAGTGACTTGAGTAGAATGTGGATATTAAGAGCGGAATTCTACGACTCCAACTACAAACATTCCTTAAAATTCCCAATCCACCCACCTAGGCAGCCCGCCAAATATCTTCTCAACGCTAAAATTCTGCCTCGCCTCCGTGACCGTGAGCAGATGGTCGAACGAGACACGCGCGGAGGCGTTGAACCCCGGCCCTGCTACGTTTCAGCACCGAAACCTGGGACAGGAATTTAGGTGGATCCTCACCGTGTGAGCCCTCCTCCGCGTAATATATGGTCTCGTTCCGGGGATCTGTCGGGGACCAGATCTGGAATCCTGCCGGGTTAATGGTCGAGTCCATGAACGACTGGCGGGATCGTCAGCGTTCGACGAGAAGCAGTCCAGCGTTATGTACGTACATCCATGTACACAACGACGCTGGCATTGTTCCAAGGTCGCCCAAGGGTTTGCTGGCCCGTGAGATTCAGCGATGGATTCGCGTCCGGCGAGCGCACGATAGATGACTCGGAAAAGTATGCGCCGTAGGTGTTGGTGTAGTTCGGGGTGCCTTTCCACGCCGTCGTGCTGGGGGTAACTGCTCAAGGGGAGCCCACAACTGAATCAAAATGTCTCGCACCATCCAGCGCCGCGAGTGCCAATCAAACTCTGGTCGAAATAGGCCGTGCCGAACCCGTAGATGTAGTCCCTGGAAGCCCGGCGCATGAGTCAATTTTTCACTGGGAACGGAGGCGAACGAACACGGATCCCAGGACCTGACTCTTGCGGAAGATGGCGCTCCCATTCTTGCCGATGAACATGGTGTCTTGCATCCCGCGGAATGTAGACGCATAGAAAGACGCGTTCGCGAAGCCAATGCCGAACGCGAGCGCCGGACCTACGCCGCCGTTTGCCTGAATTACATGAACAACGAGTTGAGTATACCCAAAGGAAAAGGACTGACGGCTCGGTTCTCGAAGTTGATGTTGTACGCCTTGAAATCGGTACATCCGAACTCCTGGAAACCGCACATGAGGAAAATTGAGGGAGGATGAGGTTCAACGCGCACATCTGGTATCGGGACCGGAGTTCCACCGTAATAACCTGCCCCCGTCCAAGCAGCATATTTATTAGGCGCGACCGTGAGCACCGCCGAATCCGCATTGTCCTGTAAGCTTGCAATCTGGGTCGTTTGATTGATGAACGTCGTGTTGAATATCGTAACGAGATTCTGCGCATCTGTACGACAAAAGAATTTGAATGTCATAATTGCATCACTTCATGCACCACCTACAAGACGCAGGATGGTCTGTTTGTCCCAACAACATAGTAGGGCCTTTTCTGGAGACATTTACCGCTTCTTGGTAAGTACCTGCGCCAATGAGAATGACGCGAGGGGAAGTGTCGTGGGGCAAGGACTCGACAGCGGCTTGCACGCTTTTAAAATGAGCATTCGAATCCGTCTGAGACACAAATATCGTTCCTGAACCGCGAGTTAACATCGACAGAAGGACAGAAACAAAGCCACCGCACCTGGCGGACAAAACAGCGTCGGGAGGAACTCGGGCTTGGCTGTGCTCTGACAGGCGGCGTATTGGGCAAAAGAGGCGGCGGAGGCAGACGCTGCGCAGGCGAGTGCAGCGGCGAAGACGAGAGAAAGCGGGGGAGCCATTTTTGGTGTCCATGAATTCACCAATCCATTTATGCGGACGCATAGTGCTCATGTGGTGTGACGGCGGGAGCGTCGGGACGACGGCGCGGCAGATCCCTGCACATGACCCTGGTTGATTGGCAGGCACAAAACGGACGATTTCCGAGGACGCTTCAGGCCAAAATTGAGGGCAGCATGAGCATGGAACACGGATAACAATGGTTGTGGAAAGGAACTTGGCGGACCCGGTGGCTGTCCAGTTGCATCAAAGGCGCGTTGTGGGTTGTTGCGTTCTCAAGCCAATAGTCTCGCATCGTCCTATTGCCCCGATTAGGCAACTTCCCCTTTCATCCACCGACTTTTACTTGCCGCCTCGACGGGGATACGTACAACGATGAATAAATAGCATGCTAGGGCCTAATGCTTTTTCTCGCGTTCGACGATCGCTGACACTCCGGGATTTACAAGACGGGCTTCAAGTATGCCAGGGCTGGCGACGAGCCGACCTAATTGAGAGAGACTGCCTGTGGCTTTTAAGTAGTTGCGTTGGGCTCGCCGAAATCACGGAAGGCTTAAAATAAACGAGATTAGCGTTGGTGGTCGAGACGATAGAATTTCAGTAGCCAGTCTTGCATGACGAGCAAGACAGAACAACATTTATTTATTACCTGGCCGTGCTTGCACTTTCACGATCTTGAATTGGGCACAAGCTCAATAGTACCCGTCATTCCTACCACTCCCTCATCGTTCACGCACCACACTGTGACGTTGTGCTCGTCGTTCCAAAACCCAGCGATGGTCAGCGGTCGGTTGACGATGATCGGATTTCTGGCCCGATACTGAAAGTGCGCGATCCGCGCGGTGGGTTTCTGGAGCATGGTCGTCTCGAGTAGCATAAGTGCAGTCAGCGGGCCATGCACAAGTCTCTCTGGATAGCCATTCAACAAGAAAAGTGTCTGCGAGTAAAAGGACCACGGACCTGGGTAGCCTTCCTTCAACTGCGCATAATCCTTGTCAAGGTGGATATGGTGACCATTGAACGTCAGAGCGGAGAAACGGAACAAGGTGGTCAGAGTCGGAGTGAAAGCAAAAGAGAAATGCTGGGTGGGCGGTATATCCTTTACTGGTGGAGGGTCAGGCCCATCCAAGACGATGAAGGGAGAGACAAAGGCTCGCCGTCTCGGGGAACTGTATTGACGGCAACAGAATCGGCGAGATAGACATGCTCCCTTTCCTCCACCACTGAAGGCCGACTCTTGCCCACCATGGTGACTTCAATCTTTTGTTTCACAAAAACCATAGGACTCCGCTTTTCGTCGTCGAACCCCTTCTTTGCGACAGACTCCACGGTCGACGTGGATACTGCGCTTTCACCGACGAGAAGCGGGTTCTGTGCGTCCCACGACATGCGGCCGCCGGCCCACATACGTCTGGTGAACGGCGTAGGCGGGCAAAAGTCGGCATCGGTCCCGTCAGGACGCAAATCGCGCTCGGGATTTCTGGGGTGAAAGAAAGCGAGATGAGGCCCGTAGCCAAGCGGGGCTGAGAGCTTTGGAGCGTGATACGGGCTCCTGCTTCCATCCCGCGTTGGAAGGGTGATGTAGAGGTCTGAGAGACGTTCTACGCTGAATGTGTCTCTTAGCACGAGCTGCTTTGGAGAAGCAATCCAGTCGTCCAGGGCCTTGACTTCAAGTGCAGAGATATTGTTCCGGGTTGAATAGAGGCGCCTCGGTAGCAGGCGCAGTGGCTTAAATACGGTAGACATTGGTTGGTGTCCGTGTGAAGACCTTTACGGACATTGCCGAGCCTTGCTTTCTCTCCGCCGTGTTCACACAGTGTATCATGATACAGTAAACTCGCTCAACCATTGCGAAGGTCGAATCTCTATGCATGGCTCACCTATTCGGCTGCCGGCGGTGCTCTTGCCTGCAGCGCGATTAGTCATCAGTTCTAAACCCCTGTCTTGAACCCAATGCCACCAACGCGCTCGAAATATGACATGGACTTTAAAGCTTGCCTTGCAGGGGTACAACTACTCGCCTGCGCCACACCCACAGAGGCGCAGGCAGGACGCGCCAAGGCCTGGCACGAGCTCCGACACTCTGTTCAACCGACTCCTCGAGGAAGCGGGTTTGAATCCTATAACAGTAGTCTCCTTTCGCCTAGTCCGCGGTCAACTTGAAAACTCTAAACACTCAAGGCCAAGCCCGAAGATCTAGGAAACGCGGACGGTGTTGTCCTTTTCGCGATCCCGACTCTCACCTCAGGCAAGGATAAACTCCGTCGAGTATTCCCTTTATCTCAAAAATATTGCAGCATCCGTGTCTTTCCCGGCGACTTCCACCCTCACAACAGAATATTATATCTCGATTTCTTTGACGCCGCGAGTGCGAAACCTGTCAACTCACCCCGCGGCTTCAGGATTTTCCTCACCCGTCCTGGGCAGATTCCGATCTTCTCTGTAGAGCACGCATTCGGTATCGCCAGGAAAAACATCAAGGATGGCGAGGAACGGTTTGCTCTCCAGGAGGGTGCCTGTTTAGTACAGACAAAATGAACGTATTTTGCCACTGTACTTGAGACAAGGTGCAGGAAAAACATACACAGTTAAGTAAAAGCACTTGGCAGCTGGGCTAACTCGGACCCGTCGAGCGCTTCTGATTATTTCTATGTCGAGAAAACGAACAGCGGTGCGCGAAGTTACCTCGGGCTACAAAGAAATACAGCATGCACACAAAAGGGGCACACGCAAACGTAATCTACACTATTTACAGAGCTGTAGCGGTATGTCAGAGTGTCTCGATGGCTCTTCTCACCTCTTCTGCTCGCAATTCAAACATCCCTAGCTGCCGCTCCCCGTCTTTCTTGAAACGCTCATACTCAATCCCCATTTGATACCGAATCCACTCTTCCACGGACATCTCTTGCTCGGCCTCGCTCAGAGAGTCGATATTGACGAAAGGATCCGTTGCGAGGGGCGGTATGAACGAAAACCCTTCTGGGCTGTCCTGCGGGACGTTCCACTGCGGCGGCTGGTCAAGGAG